GGGTGGGGGAACCGTATGTGGACACCCCCACTGGGGCTTCGGTTGAGCTCCCTCTGGGGCTACGAAACGCTGCCCTGGGTGGGGGAACCGCATGTGGACACCCCCACTGGGGCCTTCGGTGGAGCTCCCTATGGGGCCACGAAACGCTGCCCTGGGTGGGGGAAACGCATGTGGACACCCCCACTGGGGCCTTCGGTGGAGCTCCCTATGGGGCCACGAAACGCTGCCCTGCTCTTCCGAACTCGCATGTGGACACCCCCACTGGGGCCTTCGGTGGAGCTCCCTATGGGGCCACGAAACGCTGCCCTGGGTGGGGGAACCGCATGTGGACACCCCCACTGGGGCCCTCGGTGGAGCTCCCTCTGGGGCTACGAAACGCTGCCCTGGGTGGGGGAACCGCATGTGGACACCCCCACTGGGGCCTTCGGTGGAGCTCCCTCTGGGGCTACGAAACGCTGCCCTGGGTGGGGAAACCGCATGTGGACACCCCCACTGGGGCCTTCGGTGGAGCTCCCTCTGGGGCTACGAAACGCTGCCCTGGGTGGGGGAACCGCATGTGGACACCCCCACTGGGGCCTTCGGTGGAGCTCCCTATGGGGCTACGAAACGCCGCCCTGGGTGGGGGAACCGCATGTGGACACCCCCACTGGGGCCTTCGGTGGAGCTCCCTATGGGGCCACGAAACGCTGCCCTGGGTGGGGGAACCGCATGTGGACACCCCCACTGGGGCCTTCGGTGGAGCTCCCTATGGGGCCACGAAACGCTGCCCTGGGTGGGGGAACCGCATGTGGACACCCCACTGGGGCCTTCGGTGGAGCTCCCTATGGGGCTACGAAGCGCTGCCCTGGGTGTGGAAACCGCATGTGGACACCCCCACTGGGGCCTTCGGTGGAGTTTCCTCTGGGGCCACGAAACGCTGCCCTGGGTGGGGGAACCGCTTGTGGACACCCCCACTGGGGCCTTAGGTTGAGCTCCCTATGGGGCCACGAAACGCTGCACTGGGTGTGGGGGGAAAACGCATGTGGACACCCCTCATGGGGCCTTTCGGTGGAGCTCTCTATGGGGGGCACGAAACTAGGGTGGCCCTGGGTGGGGGAACCGCATGTGGACACCCCCACTGGGGCCTTCGGTGGAGTTCCCTATGGGGCTACGAAACGCGTGAGAGGTGTGCCGAGAGCAGAGGCAAGGAGGGGGAGGAGGGAGGAGGGGGAGGGGGAAGGAGAGGAACGCGGGGCACCGTCTCTTCAAAACGAGGACCCAACACCACAGGATGGTTGGGAACCAAATAATAATTATCCTGGCGAAGGACCCAACCATATGCAGTTGTGAGTACCGCAATTGTGAATATCTTCTTCGGTGGCGCTCCCTATGAGGCCACGAACCGTATAAGGGGTGTGCCGAACTGTGGCGGGGTACACAATGCAAAGGAATACGACAGGTCGAATTACGAGAGACTGAACGCGGGCGAGTCAGACCGTGAGTGTGTCTGAGTGTGAATGAGTCTGCGTGGGAGTGAGTAGATTTGCGTGGATGCCATCATGGCCACGCCCAATGTAAATGTATATGAATGTGAATGGTTCGGGCATGCCAGTCCGAACGCTCGTGACTCTGGGCGTGGCCGCCGCAGGCAGCTTCCGCGGGAACCCCGACGGCAGCGCCCGCACGCCGCGACGCCCATGTCGGCACGCCCCTTGCGAGGATCGCGCCCGCTTTCGTCCCTCCTTTTCCTCCCTCTTTGCCCGCGCACTCCAAAAATCAAAGGCCGCGGGCGCAGCGCAGCGCGGAGTCCCCGCGACGCGCGCCGGTCGCCCCAGGCGGGGTCCCAGCGACGCGCGCGGGTCGTCCGCTGCGCGGGGCAGAGAGCTGGCTAGCTAACTGGCTGGCTGATAGCGGGCAAGGCTCTGACTGCTGGGCAGAGCGACGACGGGCGAACGAGGCGCCGGGCGCCCCGCAGCACGGAGTTCCCGCGACGCGCGCAGGTCGCCCCGAGAGGGTCCCAGCGACGCGCGCGGGTCGTCCGCGGCGCGAGGCCAAACAAATAGTCGGGCAGTCGAGAGAAGGCGCGGCTCGGGGGGGACGCTCCTCAGGTCAGGCCTCGCGGATAAACTCGGTGAAGCCGAGCTCCCCGGCGAGGGCCGTCGCCTCCCTCCTGCAACGCATCGTGCGCGCCGCAAACTGCTCCAGCTGCTTCCGCAAGCCCTCCGGCGGCCCTGCCAGGAAGAACTCGATGCGCGGCGCCCGCATGAGCAGGAGGTCCTCGTGGCGCGTGGCGCGCGAGAGCAGCACATAGAGCTCCAGCCACCAGTCGTCGTCCTCCTTCTTGCCGTTCCCGACTTCGTGGCGGCCGCAGTCCAGAATCACGCCTGGGCGACGTCGACCGAGGGAGCAGTGCGCCGGGCAGCTGACGGCCCAGGGCGAGAGTCCGCGGGACCGAGGTCTGGCCGCGGACTGCTCGCGCCCCGGAGGTCTGGCCGTTCCCAGAGCGCCATTCCCCCGCCCCGTCGCCTTCTCGCATGGTGCGCCCCTGGCACGCCACCGTGGTGATGACCCTGCCGTGCGAGAACGGGAAGCCCGTCCGCGAGACCTTGGAGGTGCGGAAGGTGAACGGCTCCGACGTGCGGGGCTCGATGAACACCAGCGGGCCCGCGAGGTCCCCCGTGAGGCTGTCGTCGCGGCGCTTGAGGTCGTCCTCGAAGGGCGCGCTCGCGTACTTCTCCATGCGCACCCAGAACCCCAGCGGCAAGCGCTTCAGGTAGATCCTCTTCTCCCCCTCTCTCTCGGCTCTCTCGACGTCGTCCCGATCTCGAGGGTCCACGTCGATGTGCACGATCTGCCCCTCGGCATCCTTGACGAGGCCGTTCTTGAGGTCGAGCGCTTCCAGGAGCCGGATCCGCATGCCCACGTGCACCGGGAGCAGCCCGTGCATGCCACCGGTGTTCTTCGGGTTGGCACTGTTCATCATCTTGGCGGCGTCCTTGACGCTCATCGTCGGCGCAGACCTGTCGGCGGCCTGCACGAGGTAGAGGGGCTTCTTCAGGACGTCCGCGTCCCGCTGAGCACGCATGTTCATCCACCGCGCCACGGTGTCCCAGTAGGACCCGATCATGTGGCCGTTCTGGAACCTCTCCTCCCGGAGCCGGCGATCATCGGGTTTCAGCTGCATGGCGTTCCACGTGGCCCGGATGGCCGGAGGGACCTGCTTCCCCGGTTTGCGCAGGAACGCCATGAGATCTCGAAGCTTGGGGTCCTTGAAGCGGTTGGACGCCTGGAGCTCGAAGCACAGCGGCGTGTTGCAGAAGAGCTTCATCACTGCCTGGCACTCTGGGGCGAGGTTGATGCCCGCCGCCGCCAGTTCCTCGAAGCTGGAGATGAGCGACACCTTGCCTCCCGTCGGCTTCAGCTGCAGGAAGTCCCCAAGGTGGATCACGATGGGCATCCGGCCGAAGGCGCCGCCGACCTGGTCGTACTCCCGCTCCTCCGCGCCCCACTCGGCCTTGCGTCCCAGGTAGGACCGGAACGCCAGCATGTTGTACAGTTTGGGCGAGATCATGCTCACCTCCTCCAGGATCAAGCACCTTACCGCCTCCCACGTGTCCTGCAGCGCTTTCAGCTTGCCCCCCGCGGGTATGTCTTTGTTCCTGAAGGACTGCACTCCGATGACTCCCGCCCGGTGGCAACTGACGGCCTTGTGAGCGTCCGTGGAGATGTTCGCGGCCTGAGACCACTTCGCGCAGACTATCAGCGTGGACTTCGCATTGCCCGTTTCCACAGGGAACAGCGCGTCCATGGCCGGCAGCACGATCTCCTGCACCATGGCGGTCTTCCCGCTGCCGCCCTGGCCGAGGAGCAGGAACTGGAACGTCTTCCGCTTCGCGTGCTTGGCCATGCTGCCGTCCTCGATCTTCTGCTCCTCGTCCCACACCACGTTGCAGGCGTTCGCGAACGCCGTGACGAACAGGGCCTGGTCGGACTTCAGAGGGCGGCGCTCCTGCTTCCCGGCGATCGGGTTGACCACGCCGTCCTCGAACTTTTTGACGAGGCGCTTGACGAGGTCGCTGGGCCGCTGCAACTCCTCCGACGGCTCCCACCGCGCCTGCGCCGCCTCGGCCGGCATCGCGCCAGCGCCCGCTGCCCCGACGTCGTCTGGCGCGGGGGCGTCTTCCGCGGGCACGTCCGCGTCCTTCGTGCCCCCCTTGGCGAACCTCTTCCGCTGGGTCTCCACCAGGTCCTTCAGCTCGTCTGCGTCGAGGTCGCGCAAGGCCCTGAACGGAGCGAGGACGTCTTCCTTCAGAGCGCGGGCTGCGCGCCGCGACGCGTCGGCGTCAGTCGGCCCGGGCAGCGCTCCGTTCTCCATCATCGTGGCGGCCTTCTTGAGCTCCCTCACGAAGGCCTGCGTGCGCTCGGCGGTGTCGAAACGCAAGATCTGCCCGAGCGTCTCGGGGTCGAAGTGATGCTCCAGGACAACGTTGGCGCCCAGCTTCGCGAAGCCGTCCTGAGCGCGGATGCCCTGGGCCTCCATCTGCGCGGCGCCCGCCCCCGAATCCTCGGCGCCCTCCCGGAACACGGGGGCCTCCGCGACGTGCACGTCGTCCTTCTGCGGCCTCTTCGGCTTCGAAGCCTTCGCCTTGGAGATGCCGTCGAAGTTGGCCGCGGTCTTCGTGGTCTCCAGGGCCAGGTACTCCTGCACCGTCAGCATGCTGTCCAGCCAGTTGCCCAGCTCCGTGCACTGGGCGCACCGGCAAGGAGGCTGCACGTCCTCGCGGCGGTCGCTGCGCTTTTCGCGCAGCGCGGACTCGACCTCCCCCGTGTTCCAGATGCTGGGCGTCGCCCACGACCCGACGTCATTCCTGAGGCACTTCGCCCGGGCCGTCTTCGCCAGTTGCTCCTGGGCGGTGGCGAACGTCTCCCAGCCGCGCTGGAACGGGCCCGCGACGCCCTCCCCCGCCGGCTGCGCCGGCCACTCCGGCTCGCCCTCTGGCGCCGCGCACAGTTGCTCGTACGCGCGGAGGTAGCGCAGCTCCTTCGTGTCGTTGGGCCCGTCGGCGTCCGGCAGGTGCACTGGCCGGAGCAGCACCGACTTCATGAGATAGTGCGTCTCCACGTTCGACTCCGCGCTCACGAACTGGAAGCCGTCGGCCTTCGGGATGCGCGGCTCGACGGCCAGCCTCTGAGTCCAGTTCCGCGCCGCGGAGTAGGACGAGTCGAAGGCGATGTCGACGTGCAGGGTGCGACCCCCGCTGCCCTCGGGATCCAGCTCCCCGGCCGGAAGGGCGTGCAACGGCAGTTCCACGCGGTACACCCAGATGCTGTAGACGTACAAACTCATGTCTCGGACAATAGGGTGGTCTCCGCGGTGCATCCAGTCGTCGTGCTGGCTCAGCACTGCGCCCCTGAACTTGCCCTGCGCGAGGCCCTCGACAGTCGGCCCCGGTGCCTCGGGCACCTCTTCGGCCTCGCCTTCGTGATCAGTCAGCGCCTACGCACGTTGACGTCGGAGCGAGCGCGCTGGCTCTGGCCGGGATCTGAGAAGGAACGCTGGTGAGCGGCTACTCGAACGTGTCGATAACTTCACTCGCCGTCGTGGGGTCGGGGAAGTACACCGTCTCGTCCTTCCGCGCGTGCAACTGGCGCCACCCGGCATCGCGACCTGCTGTCCTGTGCTGGGGAACGCAGGTAACGTGATCTAGGTGGCGGGGCTCGCTTTCCGCGTTCTGGCCTGCCAGTATTCGCCTGCGCTGGTCTCGCTGACAGGTAGATTGGCTATTTCGCCATGAAACACTTATCCCGCATACGGTTGCGTCATGAAGGTGGGATGTGTCCCAGAAGGCATTGGGACCGTCGTTCTCGCTGCCGCTCTTCCAGGAGGCCCTGCGGAAGCAGGTCTCGAAGCGGGCCAACACCTGCAGCGTGCGCTTGAAATCCTCCTTGCGCTTTCCTGCGGCGGTCGACTGGGCCTCGTCGCCGGCGCCGCCCGCGGCCTGCGCCTCCCTGTCGTCCCACTGGCTCTTCAGGCGGCGCACGCCGTCGAGGAGCTTGCAGAGCACGTCGTCCATGCTGGGGTTCACCTTCGTGGTGTGCGAGTTCACGTAGTAGCTCGTGTTGTGGGCGTCCACGAAGGTGGCCAGCGCGTGCCGCTCCAGGTCGCGTTGGAGATCGGCGCGCGCAGCGTCGCCACCGTCCATGGCGGGGCTGTCGCGGTCCGCGAGCTCCCTGAAGATCTCGTGCCAGTCGGTGACTACGACGAGGTCCCACTTCTCCGCGGACGTGGTGTTCAGATGCTGGAACCATCCCCAGTCCTCCCGAGCACCCACCGAGAAGTCGGCGTAGCGCTGAGGGTAGAGGCCATGGTTGTAGCTCTTGCGGTCCTCCTCGTTCGCCGGCGGTTCCAGCTCGGACGCATCCATCCACAGGCGCGGGGGTAGCACCCGTCTCATGTCCTGCACGTCCACGTTGCACCGCGCCGAGACGACCGCCGCGTACTTCGTCGAGGTCTCCCCGGGGTGGAGCTGGAAGGTGACGATGCGCCCGGCCATGCCGTAGTCCGTCTCCCGGAAGATGCCGATGCAGCCGCGCAGAGCCTTCCCACGCGTGCGGAACCGGCACTCTTGGGAGTCCCCCCCTCGGGCCACGTGCACAGTGTCACCAGATTGTAGAAATTGTGGCGGCAGATCTGCGAGCCGCGCGTCTTGTCGGAATGGTACTTGTAGCAGGAGGGGCTGCAGACGTGGATGCCGCAGCCGATGACGAGCTCGCGCGCGTCGCGGCACATCTCGCGAATCCTCTCGTCGCTCGGGAGAGACTCCGCCAGGGTGCCCCCGCCGCGGTACCTCGGGAAGATGCCGGAGGCGCTGCTGGAGAGCGGCCGCCGCCAGTACCCCTTGTTCTCCGCGGCCCTCTGCTCTGTCCAGGCCGCAACGTCGTCCACGATCTCGCCGCCGTTGTTGCGCAGCGGCAGATCGGGGCGAATCGCCCTGTGGTAGTCGTCTACCTTGGGCTCGTAGAACCACAGCTCCTGCGGCTCCGTCTCGCCTCCGTCCCCGAGCTGCTCTGCAGTCGCCATCTCCGCGCCCCCGTCGGCTCTGAAGTACCGCTTCTCGTTGGGCCCGAACGGCAGCGGCGGCACCTCGACCCCGCACTTGTTCTCGCCCCCCTGCAGCTGCAGGGGCAGCAGCTCCACGGCGCTCTGCTGAGTGGCGACCACGGCCTGCACCACCTGCCGCATCCACAGGTTCAAGCGCTCCTGGAAGCGCGCCTCGTCGCGCTGCAGCATGTCCAAGAGCACGCGCAGCTGACCCTGCAGCAGCCAGATGAGGATGTGCGGGTGCAGCGAGCCGCGGCCCTGAGCCTCGACCGGACCGAAGGCCGCCGCCAGGGGGCCGAACACCGTGGGCACGCCCATGAGGTCGGCCGCCACGCCGTCGGAGATCCAGTGTTCGGAAGCCTTTCGAACTTCTCCTCGCCGCCACCCGACGGTCTCCGGGCGCAGGCCGAGGACGTGGACGAAGAACAGCCTCATCATCAGCTCGAACACCACGGCCTGGCCCACGGGGTCCGCGGCGATAGCATAGTAATTGCGACAATCTTCGTTGAAGATGACTTGTTCCGCTCTCGGTAGGTTGCTGTTTTTGCGAAAGGTTACTTCCTCCCCGTTGCACTGATGAGGTTTACAGCACGGCGCACTGCTTGGTGTTGCTGAATTCGGGGTGACGGAACTGACGGCGGGCGAAGCGGAAGGGTATGGCTCGCCTCTCGCGCAGCTCCTCTGCCATGTGTCGTCGGAGACCCGATATTGACTGGCAGTGGCTGGCAGGTGGCGGAAGGCCTTGCGACTGTTCGGGGTGTCTTGTCCATGAGGATGCGTTGCAGCGTGGCTTTCCTGCCCAGTTTGTTCTGCTCGCCGACTGTGATGCACCTCATCGTTCTTTCATCTGGCGTGATAGGTCGCGCTAGGCGCGAGGGCGAACGCCCCGGGGTCTTATGAAGGATGTAGGTAGTGTTGGTCGTTTCGTGACTTCAGAGGACACAGCAGGTTGCACGTCGTACCAGGAGCTCCGGAAACGACTGATGGGCCTGGCCACGTACTTCTCCTCGTCGGCAGGCACGTCGTACTCCATCTCCTCCCGCGTGAGAAGATTTTTGATGAAGTGCGCCACGCTGAAGCAGAGCCGACCCTCCTTCTGCTTCTGCGGGCCCTCGTCTCCGTCTGGGGGGAGCTGGCCGAGGCCCCAGGCGCAGTCCCCGTAGCAGAAGTCCGTGGGCCTGGCAATGGACCAGTACTTCGGATTCCACCAGCTCTCCGCCTTCCTCGAAGTGGGCACCCGAAGCCTCGCCTTTCGCTGGCCGTCGGGGCCGGGCGGTCCCTGCAAGGAGCGCGGGTCGTCCTCGGCGGGAGTCCCCGCGACTCCTGCAGGTCGCGCCGGGTCGCCCACGCCCTCCCCCGCCTGGCAGTTGTTCGTCTCCAGCGCCTGGACGCGCCAGTGCAGCTTCGCCATGTCCTCCCCCGGGGAGATCTTCCGACAGCGCGCGTGGAACTCCTGGCAGAGGCCCCGCAGGCGGTGACGCCTGATCTCGTCCAGCTGCAGCGCCCTATCCTCGCCTCTCTGGTCCTCGAGCCTAGACATCAGCTCGTTGGCCACCACGCGCCCCGCCTGACTCTCCATCCTCTCGAGCATGCCCTGGAGCGCCGGCAGGGACGTGAGCTCGCTGACGTCGTCCATGTGGTCCTCGAGGACGGACAGCCACTTGGTCAGCTCTTGCGCGTCCTCGGCAGCCGCGCCCATCTCGGCCTGCGCGCCAGCGGTGGCCGAGGCGGGCCCCTGCGCCTGCGCGATGTCGTCCAGCGCCGCGTCCGTGGGGACATACTTCGCGCAGGCCAACATGAAGTCGGGCACGTCCGGCTGCGGGGGGAACCGGTCCGTGTGGTCGATCGGTTCTGCTACGGCACGGTGTCATTGTACACGTAGTGTAGCTTTGCAATTTATGCATAAGATTTATTGTGTTTTTGCTAGCTCTTTGTTTTTTCTGTTGTTGCTTCAACAACCGCGCCTGGGCGTCGTATTCCGCCTTGTCGACGTGCAGCGCCACCTCCTCCCTCATGGCTCTCAGGGCCCTCTCCTGCTTCTGCTCCTCGGTCAGGGGGATGCCCTCCTCGTCATCGCCGGCGCCCGCGAATGCGGCCACGAACGTGTCCTTGAGCATGTCGGGCTCCGGCGGGAAGCTCCGCATCGCGTGGTCCACGTTCCCGTTCCCGAACACGATGGCGGTGCCCTGCATGGCGTACTGCAAGAACTTCTGCCTCCACGACTGCTGCTCCTGCCGGACGGCCTTGTCGGCGCCCTTGCTGGACAAGTAGATCTTCGTGGACACGACGCGGCCGAGCGCGAGCAGCAACTGGTGCGCGAGAGCGGCCTTCCTGAGCAGAGGGTGGTGGCGGCCCAGCCAGAGGTCGTTTACCAGCGCCATCAGCGGCACCTTGGGGTGATCAGACCACAGGTCTCTCCGGCAATCGTCGCACACTTTCACTGGCACCTTCCCTTCGAGCGCCTCTGGCGGCACGCGCCTCTTGTGCAAGAGTATATTCGTGGACGTCGGCGAGCCCTCGCAGTCGTTGTGGGGGAAGTCCACGGCCGACGACATCAGCTCGTCGCGCGGTATGAGGGGCCATCGTTGGTGATACCACTCGGCCGACAGGCAGTCCGCGAACTGGGCTCGGTTCTTTATGGTGCACTTGTCGCCGACGAGGTACTCCGAGTGGAGGTTCTCGGACCACTGCTGCATGGCGCAGCAGACGCAGGCCTGGAAAGCGCGGGGCCCCCTCGCCCGACACGCCGCCTGAGCTCGGGCTGCCGACTCCGCCGCGCCGGCCGCCTGCAGGGAGATCTCCTCCGCGGGCCCCCCCTGACCGATCTTGCCGATGATCCTGCCGACGATCTCCGCGTGGAGCAGCTGCTTCTGCACCTCCGATTCGGGCTTCGGGACAATCGGCTCGTCCACGGGGTCGACGGTGGCGCAGCACTGGGAAATGTGGA